ACAGCGGACCCCCCAGTGGCACTGAGGCGCTCACACTGTCCTGCCACCACCGCCCCCTCTAGTTCCAGAACAGGTTCCTCACCCCAAAGAAAGCCTGTACCTGCCCCCATGGAGCCACCATTTCCCCGCCCCGCCCCGCCCCCACCGGGTCTGTCCGGGTTCTTCCGCCTTCACAAGGCGACACGTCCCGACTCGCTCCTGCCCAGAGCGGCACCGGGCTGCGGGCCAACCCGCGGTTCACAGACGACTTGAGGCCACAAAAGGCACAAATGGACAAGGAGAGGGTTTGACCTCAGAGGCCCCGGGTAGGCGCTGTCCTGGGACCAGGGGTCCCCTCGCCCTGGGGCCCGTGAGCTCTGGGGGGTAGGGGGGAACAGTTGGTGGCAGCTCCCTCGGGGAGGCCACACCTCCTGGCCGCAGACACAGGCACAGACTGTCCCGGCCCCGGTCCCAGCAGGGGTTCCGCTGTCACGGCTGCATCTTGAGTTGCTGCCGGAGGTTCTGAGGGATCGGGTCGGACGTGTGGGCCCAGGGACTCTCAGAAAGCAGCCAGCCCTGAGGCTTCTGCTGTGCCCTTGAGTGGGGTTGAACCGTGACCCTTCGGTCCCCAGGCCACTGCTCTAACCACTGAGCCAACCGGCCAGGGCTGCTCCTGGATCCGACTGGCCTCTGTGAGCTGGGGCTGCAGACACGGCTGCCCTGAGCTGTGGGTGGGAGTCGGTGGGTTCCCATAGAGCTGCCACAGTCTCCCCCCCCCAATACCCCCCGCCTTCTGAGCCGCCCCTCGCCGCAAGCCAGGCTCCCAGGCGGCCGCACCCTCTGTTCCTCGCAGGGGCACACAAGTTTCCCAGAAACGCCCAGAAACGGGCCGGGGCTCAGCCAATGGGGGAACCGCAGTGAGAGTGTTGTCAGAGGGCAGATCCAAGGCAGGAGCACACGAGCCCTGGGCACAGGAGGTGCCCCAACGTGCCCCCGGCCGCCGCAGTAGCCTGGCTGGGCCTGCCTCGCAGTAACTTGCTGGGCTGGAGAACCCTGATGGGCACGGTGGCCACAGTGGCCGGTGGAGCAGTAGCCGGCCTCAGACCGTGGCTCCCTCCCAGGCGATGTGCCACCGGCCAAGGGCCCCCTCACCCGCTCACCCAGAGGGCGACTGGGGGCAGAGATGGGCCAAGTGTCCCTGCTCTCATGCAGCTCCTGGCCCCACCAGCAGGGGGTGCTGGAGGAAGCGTGGCCCTCGCAGAGCGGGCGGATGCCAGCGGCAAGGGACAGGACAAGGGACAGGATGGACGGAAGGGTGATGGTGGCCAAGGCAGCACACAGGTGAGGGGGAGGTGCACATGCAGGAAAAAACGGAGGGGCTTTGAGGGAGAGGGAGGCCTAAAGCGCCCTGGGGCCTAGGGCTGAAGCTCAGTCCCTGGCGGTCATGTGACATCTGCCTGGGGATCCGCTGGTCAATCTACAATGCCAGCCTTTGACCCTGAACATCCGTTCAGGCCGGTGGTGCAGGGGCGTGCGCACGGGAGGCGTGCAGGGAGGGGTGCGGGCACAGGGGCTTACTCCAGCAGACGCCTGTGGTTGAGCTCGTGCGAGGGGGGCATCCGGCAGCAGCTGAAGGTGACGATGCGTCTCCCAAGGTGGTCCTCCCCTGCAGGAAGACACCCACCCAGCCTGGCTCTCGGAACCGCCGGCCTGAACACACACGGCACTCCTGACCGCCCGCCCAGCTTAGGGGGCAGGCGGCCGGCACTCGGAGAAGGCAGCGCCTGCAGGGCGAGCATCAGCCACAGGACACAGCAGGCCTTCCACGAATGCTGGCGCCTCCCGTAGGCACAGGCCCACTCCCTCCCTGCCCTGATTCCCCGGTTTTGGTGGGGGATGGGGGCTAGCAGCCAATCAGCACACGTCGGACCTCCTGCTAATGGGGGCCCTGTGCGAGAGGGGCTGCTGGGCAGCTGGGCCAGAGCACGGAGGGGTGTGGAGACGGCAGAACAGCAGGTGAGGAAATCGGTACTCAGTTCAGTCAGCAACAGGCATGAGGGGCACTGCCGGGCTGTGAGCCCCGCCACCCTGCCACCTGCACGGGAGAGCTCAGCACGTGCAAAGGCACTGGGGCAGCGACAGAGAGAGGGAATGGAGCCCAGTGCCACCCGGGCCCACTTCCTTTTCCCCAGCAGCGTCCAGCTTGTACAGAGCGGTGAGCCAGTCACTCCTCATTCAGTAAACACTTACTGAGCACCTCCTGTTTGCAGGCCCACGACGAGCATGGCGCTCAGCTGTGAAGGGAGCTACTACTTCGGAAGGCTTTTTACTCCCCTTAAAACCAAAAGGCCCCTCCCTCAGCATTTTCTTCCCATAGCAACAGATTTCTAAGGGTCCAGCCAAAGGACCCTCACAGCATTATTTACCCTCAACAAACATTCAGCAAAGCTCTCAGGGAGTGGGGCAGAGGGCGACCCGGTTCCTGACATCTTTTCTCTACACCTGGTGCATTTGAAAAGTTCCGTATTAACGAAAGGGAGAGGGACTCACAAGCCGGGCAGCCCTGAGCCAGCCCCTCTGCTCATCTGCAATACGGAGATAATAACGAAAGACTCTGAGGGGTACAGGAAGGGTTAAATCAAGAGCTTAAAGTTGGCATAGCGCTGGCACACAGTAGGTGCTCAATAAATGTGACGTGTTACCATGTGGCTGGATGCTGGTGCTTCCAGGGGGGAAACCGAGGCCCAGAGAGGCAAAGTGAGCGTGGGGGCCGGTTCAGCTCACAGCTGGCTGACTCCGAGGGCAGCACCCCCAGCCCGGCCTCCCAGCCCCCTCTGCCCCTGGGAACCCCGCAATCGCAGTGGGGAGGCTCCCACGCTCCTCAGCCATGCGGACCCCGGGGACACCCAGCCCCTACAGCTGATTAAGCGGTCACCACAGCAACTGTGTCAACAGCATCCGTCAGTATGAGTAAACACCCTTGCCCGTTCTCCGGCAACACGGGCCAGTGTGTCACAAACAGGCTTCACGGTGATATAATACGGACGGAAATGAAAACTATGAATAACATGCAAATCCGGGAGGCATCGGTTTCATCCACTCCCCGTCTTTCTCCCTCGCTGCTTACAGGCGGCATCGCTCGCTGCCTGGAGGCGGGGGCCCCGCGGACGATACAGAAGCGATTCCGCGATCCATCATGCCTGGGGAGGGGAGGCCAGTGAACTGCGGCAGAGGCAGCAGCAACCCCATCGGGAGGCCTGGGCTGGGGCTTGGGGTTGGGCGCTAGGTCGCTAACCTCTCTGCGGAAGTGAAAGGGATTCTGACGGCTGGACTTGTTTTGGCTGCCGCCCGGTCTGGGCGGAGCGGTGACCAGGCGTCCAGCAAGACCAGGTCCCGCGTGAACCTCCCTTAAAAAAAAATCCTCACCCAAGAGCATGCTATTGCTCTTAGAGAGAGTGGGAGGGAGAGGGAGAGAAACATGGATGTGAGAAACATCGACTGGCTGCCTCCTGCATGCACCCCAACCGGGGATCGAACCAGCAACCCAGGCATGTGCCCTGGCCTGGCATGGAACTGGGGACCCTTTGGTGCACAGGACACCACTCCCCCGGCCAGGGCTCCCTCTCTTTCTTTTCTCTCGTCTCTGCCACTCACCCGTTCCGCGTCTCTGGGACGACACCTCCTGCCTCCTCTGATCCTGGGCTCCAGAACCTTCCCTCTGCCCACACCGCGTCCTGCCATCTAATCTCGCTTCCGAGTCCCGGCCCTGGCCCCAGACTGGCGCTTCAGAGGATGGCCGCTTCTGGAAATATTTAAATCAACTTTATTCATTAAACACCATCTTAAGTCCTGGCCAGGTACTCAGTTGGTTAAGAGTGTCATCCTGGTCCAGCCGGTGTGGCTCAGTGGTTGAGTGCCAACCCATGAACCAAGAGGTCACTGTTCGATCCTCGGTCAGGGCACATGCCTAGGTGGCGAGCTCGATCCCCAGTAGGGGGCGTGCAGAGGTAGTTGATAGGCATTTCTCTCTCATTGATGTTTCTATCTCTCTATCCCTTTCCCTTCCTCTCTCTCTAAAAGCAATCCCATATAACAGAAGCCTGATATGCTAAGTGTCCGGTCATCCAGT